CTCTCTCTCTCTCTCTCTCCCTCTCCCTCTCTCTCTCTCCTTCCTGTCTCTCAAGCACCCTTAGCGAGAAGTAAAGAGGGCGACAACTTCAGTTATGGTAAGCCCTTACACGATAAAAATAAAGCTGAAATAAACCAGATAGACCGCGTTATATTTGAAGGAAGAGTGCACGTAGAGTAGCGCAGCATCAACACGGGGCTACACCCCCAAAGTCCCGAAATGTCTCAAAATGTTATGGAATTTGAGTTGTAGGCATTTTTAGCTTCCTTAGCCTCTCCTACAACTATTTCATCGCATAAGAGCCCCAAAAAGGCCTATTTTTTCCCATACCGGGCATGTTTGTCACCACCATTTCCTCATAAAGTCAACATTTTATTTTTCTTTATCGGCCGTTTTCTAAAAACGCGATTTTTCTCTATACTTTTTAAAATAACTCCACTATTTTTCATCCAACCTCTGCGAAATTTTCACAGAATAAAGAGAGGATGTAATATTCTAAAAATGTGATTTGAATTTCTTTTATAAATGTAATAGATTTTGTTAGTGGTGTCCCGAGTGTGGGTTTTTACAGATTTTTTGCAAACTTGAATAATACCTCAAGAAAAAAGTCATTAAAATTCTTCTAATTCTTTTAGGAAAAAAACAACTAACTTATTTTTAGATCTAATGTTTGCTAACATGCATGCAGAAAAAAAATTAATGTTCAAGAAAAATAAGTACGGTATTCATTACGTAAGACATGTAAACAAAATTCAATATGGCCGCCGTGTCCATGGAAACGAAACTTTTTTCTCAAATATGATTGCAGATTTTAAGACTCCTTTCTATGCTTGTTATAAGTGCCAAATTTTGTAAAATTTGGTCGAGCTAATAAGCGAGATAGCCTTCGGGTGTAACCCCCCCCCCCCCCCCTTAAAGGAGAAAAGAGAGGAAAATGGTAATTACGATATTATAATAACAAATAGTTCAGATTGAACGAGCTTAAACGATATACTCCCATGACTTATTACAAATTATTTTGTTTTAATCATACATATTTTTATCGGTGTATGGCGAACGCTCTACTCTTGTGAGTTTGCTCTTTTCACTGTCAAACATATCAGATCGTCGTGATCTCTCCTTTTCTTTGAATGTTACTCTTTAGTAACACCCCTATTTTTCGACGCTTATTTGACCAATTTCAGCAACAAGTGCCGTAAAACGCTAACTTAAACTATGCGTATACCACCGTTTGTCATTCTCACCTGTCTCGACTGCTGAACATGTTGGTGCGGTCTGCCTCTTTGCCCTGTGAACAGAACGCGATAAAGACTGCCTAGTTAGTTTTCAGAATTGTAAAATGTAAATGTATAATATGCGAGAGATCTTCACGATACCAAGTTAATATGACGTAGATGCTGGCGATCCTGTTAGAATCAGAATGTCAGAGAAAAAGTGTTCCTGAACTGAGTTTGCTTTATATATAATACATTTTTTTTTGCTCCTTTACATTTTGCATGTTTTTAAACATTCTGGCGCGCATCTTTAACTTAACGAAAACGCCAACAGGTTGCTCTCTCTCTCTCTCTCTCTCTCTCTCTCTCTCTCTCTCTCTCTCTCTCTCTCTCTCTCTCTCTCTCTTTGACAAACACACACACACACACACACACACACACACACACACACACACACACGCACACACACACAAAATATATTTAGCTCGTCTAAAAAAAAGGCCACTTATAATTTTATTAGAAGGGGATAGTGGTCACAGTTTGTTTGATTGTCTTGATCGGTGTGCGTTTTATTGTTTCTTCCGGTGTGTCCATCAATACTGTGATTTTTGTGTGAAAAAGAAGAAGAAGAAGAGAGGAGGAAAAAGAAGAAGAAGAAGAAGAAGAAGAAGAAGAAGAAGAAGAAGAAGAAGAAGAAGAAGAAGAAGAAGAAGAAGAAGAAGAAGAAGAAGAAGAAGAAGAAGAAGAAGAAGAAGAAGAAAAAGAAGAAGAAGAAGAAGAAGAAGAAAAAGAAGAAAAAGAAGAAGGAGAAGGAGGAGGAGGAGGAGGAGGAGGAGGAGGAGGAGGAAGAGGGGGAGGGGGAGGAGGAGGGGGAGGAGGAGGAGGAGGAGGAGAATAATACTTTTACTGTACTTACTTGTGTGTTGACCAGGCACCTGAGATGCAGGCTGGAAAGTCCAAGTGATGGCCGTGATCTGTCTTCGCCGGCCAGGCCGAGTCTGTTTCAAAGAAGCACACAGGCGTGAGGGTTGTTCCAGCATTGTAATAACATGCTCACAATGGAAAATACTGTTATGCTTATCTTTGGCAAGCTGATGAAATGCGCTAAGCCTAGAAAGCAAAATTTTACAGCAGAATAAAACGTTTAATTATTTTTAAGTTTCACATTGTGTATGTTTTTCTTTGAGGTTTTTTTTTTTCAACATTTAAATTTTGAATTTCGGCTGAAAATTTCTTGAGCGCATGCAACCAATACAATAAATTAAGAAACCGCGATGGAAGATAAAAATCAAAATTTTGAGCTTAGAGTAGAACATTTTAACAGCCAGCCGACGTATATGTGTGATTCTGAGCCTTTGTCTGCTTTTTAAGGTTGTTCCAGCAGTTTTTTTGTGTCGTCTTTTTTACCTATGACTCTCTTGCCCTTTTTTAAAACTCCCAGTGGAGCACAGGCCATCAACAACATTACTCCTGCGAAGCCTGTCCTGAGCATCCTTTTCTATCTGTTTCCATGAGGTCCCCGCTTTTTCAATTTCCGCTTGTACCGCTCGCCTCCATGTCATCTTTGGTCTCCCCTTCTTACGCTT